CCTTTCCAAGGTGAGCTTCATGACCAGCCATATGAAATCACTGAAATATTTGGACATGAGCAAAAACTTGCTGCATCACGATGGGGCTGAGGGGCGCTGCGAGTGGGCGAACTCACTGGCAGAGCTGGACTTGTCCTCCAATCAGTTGACGGAGTCTGTGTTTGAGTGCTTGCCCGTCAATATCCAAATCCTGGATCTACAAAACAACCAGATCGCAAGCGTCCCGAGGGGGATTGCTGAGCTGAAGTCCTTGAAAGAGCTGAATCTTGCATCAAACCGGCTGACTGACCTGCCCGGGTGCAGCGGCTTTCCTGCCCTGGCAGCCCTGAACATAGAGATGAACTCAATCCTCACGCCGTCTGCCGACTTCTTCCAGAGCTGTCAAAGGGTGGGGGAGCTACAAGCAGGGCACAATCCGTTCAAGTGCTCCTGCGACCTGCGAGACTTCATCCGCCTGGAGAAGCAGTCTGGGGGGAAGCTGTCGGGCTGGCCGGGGGCCTACGTGTGCCGGTACCCAGAAGACTTGCAGGGAACCCAGCTGAAGGACTTTCACTTGAGTGAACTGTCTTGCAACACCACTCTCTTGCTTGTGACAGCTCTGCTCCTGACGCTGGTGCTGGTGGCTGTCGTGGCCTTTCTGTGCGTCTACTTTGATGCGTTGTGGTACGCGCGGATGATGTGGCAGTGGACGCAGATGAAGCGGAGGGCTTGGCACAGCTACCCCCAAGAGCAGGAGAACATGCTGCAGTTTCACGCTTTCATTTCATACAGCGAACGTGATTCTTTGTGGGTGAAGAACGAGCTGATCCCAAACCTGGAGAAGGGGGAGGGCTGTGTGCAGCTGTGCCAGCACGAGAGGAATTTCATCCCGGGCAAGAGCATTGTGGAGAATATCATTGACTGCATAGAGAAGAGCTACAAGTCGGTCTTTGTGCTGTCTCCCAACTTTGTGCAGAGCGAATGGTGCCACTATGAGCTGTACTTTGCCCATCACAAGTTATTTAGTGAGAACTCCAATAGCTTAATCCTCATTTTACTGGAGCCGATCCCTCCGTATGTCATTCCTGCCAGGTATCACAAGCTGAAGGCTCTCATGGCCAAGAGGACCTACCTGGAGTGGCCGAAGGAGAGGAGCAAGCATGCCCTTTTCTGGGCTAACTTGAGGGCAGCTATTAACATTAATCTGCCAGTG